GTCTGGGCGGGCAACTTCCAGATTCAACTTGCAAAGTTGCCAATTCATGGCGTAGATTCTGTATTGCCAGTACTACTGGCTATATTGGAAGATATATTTAAAAAGCTTCGTGATTTTGTTCCGAATAGAGATGACCTTATTAGCGTATCATTGGAATCTTCTCAGCTCTCTCATCCTATACAAATTAAACTATCGACTCAAGACCAGGTGAATGTTGAGATGTTTCTTTATTTAATTGCTAATACACTTACATCAAAAACAGAGTTTTCACTTGATGCGCCTATTTACATAAATCTCCTACGTGTACCACGACAGCCTTCTGGCAAAGGTTTCAACGACTACCGTAGTAGCAGCAATCATTGCAGTAATTCAGAGACTCTATCCCATCATCATCGCCGCGACCGTTATGGTGGCCGCAGCGACAAACATTTTCGGAACCTTACCAGAACGCAGCACGGAGGCGGCATCATCAATGTGAAGAACAATGACAGTTTATGCTTTGCCCGATCGCTAGCCATTGCAGTTGCTCATGCTACAAATTTACCCTTTACTGACAAACGGAAATGGCAAGACCTGTGTGATAGTCGAAAACAGCTCCAAAGGGTGGAAGCCGTGAAACTGTACCAACTAGCAAACGTCCCATTGGGCGCGGTTTCTTATGAACATTTTGCTGCATTTCAGAAAGCCTTATTACCGGAATTTTGTATTTTCGTTTACAGATCTCCTGAACCAGAAACGGGTTTGGTTTTCTCGGGAGAGAATGCTAGGTGCAAGCAAGCTTCGAAGCTATACATCTTACTATCGGGCAATCATTATGCTGCTATTACTAAACCTGCAAGATTTTTTGGTAAAAAGAAACGCTGCGACGCTTGCAATAAATTTCTCAATAAACTCGATCCTTTGCATCATCGATGCCGCAAAAAATGCTTTAACTGTCAGCGAGCGGTATGCCCTATTGAACAGGAAATCCTGTGCGGTACCTGCAATCGTGTCTTTGGGAACACAGATTGTTTTGCTCTTCATCAGACAAGTGTTGTTGATAAATCTTCTTCATCAAAGGCAGACCACAATCAGCTCACCACCGACTGTCAGAGAAGACAGAAATGCAACGATTGTGACAATATTATTTGTATGGAGCGACCGCGACATCCGGAGATTCCAATTCACCAATGCGGAGAATATTTCTGTCGAAGCTGTAAACTGGTAGTGAGTGCAGGGCATCGCTGTTTCGTCCAAGTGCACGAGAAACCGCCAAAACCGGATCAACCTTTTCTGTATTGCGATTTTGAGGCCGACATTAGCAGCGCATGTCATGTACCGATTGCTGGGGTAGCTGTAAACGATGCAGGAAAAGCGAAAAAATTTTTCGGCCACAATGCTGGAACCAAGTTTTGTCGATGGCTTTTTCATAAACGCCACAAAAATTACATAGTAATTTTCCACAATCTCATGGGCTATGATGGAAATTTCATTATGCAATATCTCCATTCCAATGAACTCTGGCCGGAAGTGATCATGAGAGGTCTAAAGTTTTTACAAATCAAGGTAAACGAATTAAAATGAAAATAATGATCTATAAGAACAGTTATTTGTTGTTCTACTCATACACTAGGTTGCCAAGTACAATATCATGCTAAGGGATTCTTTGGCATTTTTGCCTATGGGACTGGCCGAAATGCCGAAAGCTTTTGGTTTTGAAGCTGCAAAAGGTCGTTTTCCTTTCTTATTTGCTCGTGCGGAAAACTTTAATTACGCTGGCTCTATACCGGACGAAGAATACTTTCTAACGTCACAAATGAGGATTGACGACTACAAAGGGTTTCGACAGTGGTATGACGCAGAAAAAGCCACGACTAAACTCTGGCGGTTCACTGACGAGATTTTGAAATACTGCGAAAACGATTGCCAAGTCCTTCGCATGGCGTGCCAAAGATTTTGTGGGAACATGAAGGCACTATGTGGTGGCTTTAATCCCTTAATAGAGTCAGTTTCACTTCCAGGATATGTCAATACCGTGTTCCGTGCCCTTTTCATGCCGAAAAATAGTATTCAGCATCTCACATATCGAGATCTCCAAACACATCGGACTTATTCTTATGAAAGTCTGGAGTGGCTGTTCTATCTACAGAAAACGGAAAACATTTTTATCCGCCATGCTAGAAATCACCCCGACGGTGAAAAACGTATTGGTCGTTATCATGTGGATGGGTTCTCGGAAGTAAATAAGGAGGTATTTGAATATCACGGCTGCTATTTCCATGGATGCCCAGTGTGTTTTGCAAAGGACACTACCGCATATGGTGGTCACAATATGGGCCAACTCTTCCGCTCCACGAAACACAAGGAAGCCTTCTTGAGACAGCGAGGTTATAAATATCGATGCATATGGAGCTGCCAGTGGACAGCCCAGAAACAGCAAGAGCCAGGGATTTCTGAAATTTTACAAAGTTTCAAGCATATTAAGCCGATGGATGTGCGTGACGTGTTGTTTGGAGGTCGAACGGAAGCGTTCCGCCTTCTCGCGGTGCCTAATGTGGAGCAAGGGCAGTATATCTCTTACTTGGACAAAAACTCTTTGTACCCTGCAGTCTGCAAGCAGAAACTGTACCCTCTAGGACTGCCTGAAAAAATATACAATAGTTTCAATGACTTAAATGAATATTTTGGAATCGCCCACGTGAGGGTTCTCCCGCCGCGCAATTTATGGTTGCCCTTGCTACCACAGCGGATTAATAACAAATGCATGTTTGTCCTGTGCTGGCGGTGTGCCGAACGTAATAATCAAGAATATTCATGCTTTCATTCTGACGAGGAACGCAGTTTTAATGGAGTCTATACCACCCCCGAACTAAATTTGGCTAGAACTTTGGGCTACACCGTACTGGAAATTTACGAAATTTGGCACTATCCGGAAAAGGGAGATTTGTTTTCCAAGTATATAAGCACTTTCATGAGCGAAAAAGCTGCGGCCAGCGGTTATCCTGCGGCGTGTCAGACTGATAGTGATAAAATGGCTTACCTCAAATTACTTAAGGAGAGGGATGGTGTCGTGGTGCAGCCTGATAAAGTGGAAAACAATCCAACGCGGCGCCTTCTCTCTAAACTTATGCTCAACACGTTATGGGGTCGGTTAGCCATTAAAGAAAATAAATCAAAATTCGAGTATGTAAAGACTATGAAGCGCTTCAATGAACTGTTCTATTCCGGCACGTTTGACGTTAACTACATCGACATTATCAACAGTGATGTTCTGCAGGTGCAAAGTACTCGAATTTGCAATGTTGACAGTACCGATCTTCGAGCAAATATTATTGTCGCCGGGTTTGTGACAAGTTACGCACGCTTAGAGCTTTATGCGGGAATGAGTTTTGTGGGAATTGAGCGGTTGCTGTATGTGGACACAGATTGTGTCATAGCGATGGAAGGGCCAGGCCTAGCCACACTTCCGGTCGGAGACTGCCTAGGAGAATTCAAATCAGAAATTGGAGATGATCAAATAGTGCTGTTTGTATGCGGGGGACCAAAAATGTATGCCTTTCGCACTGCAAAAGGTCATACGGCTTTTAAAGCGAAAGGCATTACCATCAATCAAGGGAATATTGAATTCTTCACTCCGGAAACGCTGGCAGAATTGGTGAAGGACACCAAAATTATGCATTATTTTATAAATCCTTACAAAATTTTTCGCATAAAGGGAAAATGGGAACTGCAAACACGAGAGCAGAAAAAGATGATTCGGTTTACATTTGACAAGCGCGTCATAAACCATCAAAAGGATTATGGCACAGAACCGTTTGGATTCTGCAGAACCTGACCTGACATGGATATAAAGAGAAAAGGGCGCAGAAACTAATCCGCTAAAGGGGCTATTTATTTTTTCTGTTAACGAACAGTTAACATGTATGCTTCATACTGTTTTGAACCGATGCTGGTTCACCCGTTCAACTTGGTATGCAGCTGTCAGTCACAGGGTGGCAAAACCTACTGGATCAATCAACTTTTGGAACGCCGTAAGATCACGCCTTTTCCTAAAAGAATTTATTTTATCTATTCTTACGAGTCTCCTATTTTTAAAACAATAAAAAAGCATACGAAGAATATTGTTTTTATTAAAAACATTCCTGATGACATTGCTGAAGAAAGTTTCACAAACAAAAATGAGCCTTCACTCATTATACTGGATGATCAGATGCAAAATATTAATAAAGACGTCGTATCTCTTTTCACTCGCGGCACGCATCACTTAAATCGTTCCGTCATACTCACTGTTCAAAATGTTTTCTTTCAAAATCCTATGATGAGAACAATATCGCTTAATGCACATTATCTCGTGTTATGGAAACAACCCCGAGACATGATGCAGATCGAAATTCTTGCCCGTCAAATGTATCCCCGTAGCTCGACTCGCTTTATGGAAGCCTATAAATTGGCCACAAGCCGAGATTATGGCTACTTGTTCCTAGATTATAAGTCGTGCACGCCCGACGCTCTACGCGTTCGATCGAACATACTTGAAGAAGGTGAAAGTGACCGCTATCAAAGAATCTATGCAATTACGGATTCAGGAATGGAAGAATATGCTTTAGTGCCAGTGAAACACCTCGGAGATAACCGAGCCCGCATACGGTCCGGCAGAGGCAAACAAAAACGCCGTCAAAAGCCAAAGAAAAAATTTGCCGGAAGCGAGAAACGTAAAGTTGGGGACAAATCGAGCAAAAAAAAAAAGAAGGATTTAGCGTTAGCAAACCCCTCTCATTTTTAGAAGACCATTTAATGTTATTATTATTATGATTTTTTTCGATATATATGCTGCTTCCGGTTACTAAATGGTTTGTGTATCTTAGTAATGGTAACAATAATTTAAAATTGCTGATTTTTAATTTATTATGTGTTTACGCGATATATTATTTATTATGTGCCTTCAAGACATACTGATAGTGAACGACAACAAACTAATTTTTATTCAATTTTATGCATGCGCACAGGCAAACAAATAAACATTAGATATCCGCAGAAGAAAACGCAGCTACTTCACTATTATTCAAATCTTCATCAGCATCGTCAATTTCTTCATCGAAAAGGTCAGGGTCACTCTCATCATCACTAGCACACTGCACAACATTTTTCGTACTCTTTACTTGCGGCGCGCCTCGAAGTTTTTTCGTGGGTAAGCGCTGCGATTCAGTAGTGTTTTTTCTTTTTCGCGATTGGTTGTTTCTGGCTGTGCGATTGCGTGCAGCCGGCACGGGTAGTGGTTGTGGAGGTTTTGCGGCAGCGGAATAACGACGAGCTGTTGGTGTTGCTTGTAGGTATGGAGTAGCGGCTTTCCACTGTTTGACATGGTGCAATAATTGACGCACGGCATTTAAAAATTCAGGCAAATAATCGACAGGAAAGTAAAAACCGTATTTTGTTGGCCGGTAACATCCGTCATCCCCCTGCTGACCGCGCGGTTGGCTGATCAAGCGCATATCCACTCGTGGCGCTTCTGGCTTGAACAAGCTGAGGCTGAGCATGATGCAGGAGGGTTTGTGCTGAAACAGAAGATGTTGGTATTGCGTTTACACTTCTACAACGCATGACTTCATCATTTCTGTTATTGATAAGGTCAGTGAAATTGCGTGTCACTGGAAAGAGGATGATATCCAGGCGGCTAGCTCCTGCCTGAAAAGTGGAAGGTACGGCGGTAATGTTGAGCTGATAACTGGGGAACATAGTTTTGCTCTGTCGTAAAGTACTGTTCAACAAGTTGAAAAAATCAAAATTTTTACGAATTAGGTACGCTCTTGAGCTTTTAATAAGAAATAATGTTTCGTTAATAAAGCGTCCGACCAATATTCCTTTCTCGTCCATAAAAGTCGATGTCTCATTAGCAAATCTGCTGATTGAAGCATTTCCACGCGCCAGTAAGCAAATGGTTGTTAACTGCATTGAAAAGATTATAAAAAATAAGGTAGCGCCTTTCTGTTTCTGCCATGTCATCATCATATGCTCTCGAATAGCCATCATCCTCTTTCAACAGAACGCAGATATAGCACTGCACGGAAACTAAAGGACAGTTTCGTTGTTAACGCATTTATATATCATTTAATTACACTTACCACAATAATAAAGGGAGCAGCCTTAACAAGATGTTGATACTCCGGCTTATTCGTCACCGCCTCCTCGTCTGTGCAGACATCTAAATTATTAACAGCAAAAGCATCCATATCCTTTCTACATAAAGCAAACAACTTTGAAATCAAACGCACGCAGCTTTTATTTTACACCAAAATTTAGGTGTCCTCGCTGCTGCCCGCCCAGTCACGCAATCTTTTTCAATAACATACTCCCACTTTTCTTTCCCATGCGTAACTGTCGGCAATCATTACTGGCAAGCGCTATATAGCCCGCCCAGTCACGCAATCTCTTCGGTTGCGCACTCCCATATTCCTCCCCTTAATAGTAATTGCCAGCAGTTGCTCATGAAACAGTTATCATATATACCCTTTCAACTCACATAAGTTCTAAATTTACAGTTTTACTAGTGAAAATGGCGGAAAACAATAACTTTGAACCTTGCATCGTGCGTGAAGACGATGGTATGCTTCACCTGCATGTCGGTAAAGGTCAAATGCCTGACAGACACGGTTTAGGCAAGCTGGATGGATTTGAATCGATTAATCTCAATAATTCTGTATACTGCTTATACTGCCATGCCATTGAATTTGATCTGACAACTGTATTGCACCCTTTACAGCTGCATTTAAAACGAAATCCGGATTGTGCCAAGTTGCGAGAGAATTTTTGTCCGCGCACGTATACTTCTACGAAGTTCGACGTGCAGCCAGGATTTGCACCTTATTATTCGGATTTCCAGACGCGAGTTAATTCTTTTTCCACCTGGTCGAAACAACTACAACAAAGTCCTACCCAATTAGCGCACGCTGGATTCTTTTATCAAGGATATGGCGACACCGTCACTTGCTTTTATTGTGGTGTAAATTTGAACCGATGGAAGGCTAGCGACGTTCCGCTCATGCAGCATCTGCACTGGTCGCCGACCTGTCTGTACTTACTCACTCGACTTACTAATTCATCCGTTCACCTACCCGCTCCACCGATTTCCCCACCCCCACCACCACCACCATCAACATCACCTACACTGGAGCCGTCATCAATAGCAGCACAACGTGGTAATACGGAAACACTGACCGCTACTGCCAATACTACCATTGCTCCTGATGCTGTGGAAATTACTCAGTCAGGAATCAAATGCGCAAACAATACTTGTGGTAAGGAGCCTGGCGGAAACGTTTGCGCCCCCGTCGCTGACAGTGCCACTTCCGCCTGCACCGCTATCCACCGGAAAGCTATGCGATACGGCTACAGCCGAGAGGAAATTAAAGAAGCTATCGCTTCTTTTAACCGGATCAATGCGACAGGCACGGAAATTTATCTTTACAGCCTTCTCACCCACTTGCAGGCTAATCGAATGGAGCGTTTACAGATGGAACGTGAATTTAGAAATTTTTACTGTGCACGATGTGATCGTAAGACAAGGCACAGTTCTGGTGCTCGTGATCGAATAATAGACGGAACGCACTGGGTACAGCGCAGTGTAAGCTATGGAGGGGGTGGTGAGAAATTTGCTACTGATTATTTTGAATGTTGCGAGTGTGATCGTTTGCGGCTATTTTGAGCATGGCACCATGGTGACGATAAGCAACGACAACGACACAACGACGTGAGTGAACGAAGCTGAATAAATATTAAATTTTGTCATTGCTTTTTGTTTAATTCATAGTAGAAAAAACAAGGCATTGTATGATCGCAAATGTAAAACCGCATACTATCTAGAGACACAAATATCATCATTATGAATGCACTTATACAAGCAACAGATCTTAAAAACTGAAAGCACACAATATCAGGCTCGAAACCAGGAAAAAAGCAAAAGCCATAACAAAAGAGTATAAACGAAAACAAGCATGATTTCTGCACAAACACCACGGAACAACAAAGGACGAAACGGTATTTTCCTAAGACTAATGATCCAAAGGCGTATACGTTATAGCCGGAAGAAAATCGTTCATAACGGCAGCAGTTCTTGGCATCACAGCGAGGTAGTGGTTGCTAGTAAACATCACACGGATTGGATGGATGATGGCTCCGGATGCCGTGCCGAAAAGCGGACCGTATGTAATGTGGGCACATCCTTCAACGCTAATTTCTTTCAAGCGCTTTTTCACCTGTAAAATAATAAACTTCCTGCAATCCTGCATTCATGGGTATGTACTAAAAGCGTTATGTGCTACCCACCTGCTTATCACTCAGCTTTTTATCCCAATTTGCAGGTTTGGGATTAACGTCGTCATGGAATCCACGGTACATGCAGATTGCACGTCGCAGGCAAGTCGCCAAAGCTAAAAGGTGCAATCCATCACCCCATTCCTTCTGGACAGGCGTCCGATCCTTGGTACAGGCGGTGTGGAAAATAACATCCATCAACTGAACATTGGCATCTTCATACGCTGTTGCGACATGCGGTAAAAACTCCTTAAAGTGCATAACAAACATGTAAATAGCTGCCAGGCGCATGTGCAGATAATATTGCTGGTCATTGAACAGGGCTTGAGAGACGGCCTCGAACAAGCAATGACCGTTTGGTTCCACATCATGAATCTCAAAATATCGTTGGAAAGCCGAGTAGAATGCGGGACTCGGTATCTGCTGGTCTCCCGCAGCTAGAGGAACATCAGGCACGTGAACAGCGCTGCGCAGCTGAATCACGACACCAGCATGTTGGTGCGTGAGGACCTGTAACTAAGCCTGATTAAATTCTTTTGAGGAATTCATTTGCAGCTGAACAGTACCTTTTTGAGCGCTTTCCGCAAGTCAGAGTCCTCATCGTTTCGCTTACGCGGGTCCTTAAGCAGCTTACGAACGGCGTTTAACGCAGCTACCACTAACTCTTTTCCCGGTGGCTTGCCGACCTGTCAAAATCAACCACACAATCGATAACACGGCTTGCTTAATTGGAGCTGTCAAACCCTAACAACTAAATTACCCAGACTGCGGTGACGTCTTGCTGTACAAGGTGGAAACGGTCAGGTGCGTATTTAAAACTGCGGTCACACAGCTCACGGATTTTTTCAGCTTGGTCCTTGGTAAGAGTGAACGAGTTCGTGCAATCAGCAGGGATTAATCCGTTCATCAAAGGCTGCCCTCTCGATAGTTCACGCAGTTTGCCGTTGACGCCTTCTTCTACGGAGTAGGTCAGCCGAGCTTCATTAAACGGGCCAAAAGTCTCGATATCGGCGCGCGCGGAATCGGAATCAGGAAAAACGAGAACCCGGACGATTTCTGGTAGATGAGATCGATGGCGCAGCAGCCAAAATGTGCCCACAATACTGGATTTTGTAGTCATCTGTAGAAGTTGGATTTAAAATCAATACAGTTGTCAGGATAACTAGCATTGTACTTAGCGAAAGTAGTTTTACCAAAACGCTTTTCAAAGCCTCTTCTTTAGCGGTAATTTCAGCTGTAGTATGATCCAACAGAGTCAGGCACTCAGAAGCTTTGACGGTCTTAGGCGGATCGGGGTTTAACAATCGAATGTCGACGGTAAATGGCAGATTTTGACCTAGCCACCGGAGTGTTTGGCGACGCTGGACATTTACCTGGAAAAAAAACGGATATAGTCAGATACAGTTTTGAATGTAAATAACACCGTACGTACGGAATTTGTTTCGTCATCATCCAAAATCATTACGTCCGGATCAGTGTCAACAGATGCTTCTTGAACTGCCGATCCCGTTGTTGCCGCGCTCCGAAGAGTTCTGACAGCAACACTATTAGTGGTGGCGCCCTTAAAACCGGAAAAATGCAATTATGGCAGCAGCACTCTAATTGCAGTATGCAGCTAAGAACAACGCACCTTCTTGCCGCGCCCTCTGTTCCTCCGCTTCTTTTTCTCAGGTTCGGAAAGAGGTGCTGGTGAGGCGTCGCGGTCATCAGCTTGAATCATCGCTTCCACGACATTGTCGTCCTCATCGACATCATCGTCCTCCTCCTCAGATGTTTCACTGCTGGCCTCATCCCGCTCCACTTCGTTCTGATCGCCATCACTGCCGGTCTCCTGTTCTTCCGTGACCTTGTCAGCACCGCTGTCGTTGTGGTCGTTGTCGGCTTCACTGTCATTCTTCCGTTCCTGTGTTTCATCGTTATCTGCCTCGTCAGCACTGCTGTCGTTGTCGGCTTCACTGCCATTCTTCTGTTCCTGTGTTTCATCGTTATCTGCTTCCTCCAGCTCTTCTTCCTCTTCCTCGCTAATAAGCATGGACGCTTCCTCTACCTGCATTTGTGCGCGCCATTCCGGAAGCTGCAAAAGCACAAAAAGCAAAGGTATTGCGATATTAGATCTACCAGTACCATTTTCCGCCCGACACCGTCTTACCAATATCGTTTCCCAGTTATCCTTCACATATTTCTTGGTAAGAGGATTCTGCGTCCGAACAAGGCAGCCAATTATGAAGCTAACGAAGCCAAAAAATTCATCCTTTGTGTGGAACAGCTCCTTCCGACGTTTAAAGGTAAGAATTTTCGGCACAATATCCGCCAGCTTCCATGGAGTAACGTACTTTCCCAAATACTGCAGCTCCTCACTGGTGTCTGGATTAAAACCGATTTTCCGAAGCTCTTTTTCATCTTTAAGGTATAAGGTCTCCAGTGATGCCATGCATTCCTCTGGCAGTTGGCCGATTTTTCGCATAGCGCAAAACTGAGCCGTTCGCTTTTCATGTAGTTTTGCGTTCATTTTCTCACCGTTTTTATCCAAAAGGATCTGGAATTCCGGAAATGCTCTGCATACTTCGACCAGTAGAGTTTGTCGGAAGGGGTTCTCTACGTTAGTCTGAAGGTCAGGACCGTACAACGTGTAGAACTGGTCCGGTTTAAACGTGGAAAACTTGGAGACATATTCAGTCACGACGCGCTGAAATATTTCTCGCAGAATAACGACGCCTTCAAGTCCAGTTGGCGCCAGCACATCGTGATGGTGCTTACGGCAGTGATACGTAAGCAGATGCACGATATCGTCCCGGTCTGGGTTCAGGTAAACAGTTCCCAAGAATCGTTCAAAGTCCAGACCTGGCATGGTGCCGACGGTAAATCTCTGGACGCCGTCAACAAGGAACACGTTCACCTTTCCCTCGAGGAGTAGTTGCACGAGCTGTTCCCGATCCTGAATGTCAGAAAACACTACCACCAGCATCATCCAACCCACCCCACTTTCAGTCTCCTCGTTTTCCATCATTCTGCGGAACATTTTGTGGTCGTATATGGGTTCTGGTTGGCGAACACCGCGGAGAATGGGATTGTTGGATTGGGCGACGATCTGTTCAGCAGTAAGCCATCCGGTGTACAGATGCTTTTTGGCAAGGGCTATGGTTGGTGCCGGCGTCTCCTGCAACTTCTTAGCCAGCTCCGGATCCTCTACGTAATGACGTGGTAGAATGACCTTTGGCGCATTTTTCATAGTGGCATACCAGGGAAAGTCTTTTTCCGATTCCTTTTTCTCTTCCCAACCTCGTCCCGTTGCCGCCATTCGCAGTGGAAACACCACATCATCAAATCCGTACGGAAATTTTGTACTTTTCTTCCGCATATTCACTTTGTCGTCTTCACATTGAACATACTTGTTATCGCCCCGGACCTGGCGGCAATAGTTGTCTGGATCCGCAAAATTCAAAGCAACGGCGGTATTGGCCCCCACTTGGCCGCCCCAGTGCAGTGTGCCAGGAGCGAAAAACACAGCCATCCCAGGCTCCATTTCCAGGCAGTACACGGGTACATCCTCCTCCTCCTCCTCAAGGCATTCCAGTATCAGTAACATGACGGATTTGTGATGATGCCCTAAGATAATCCTTTCACATAAATTCTTCTTTAGAAACGCTTCAAATTCAGCTGCTGTCATATTTGGATTTTGCTTGCGAAAAAAATCTCTCAGGATACGTCGGATAACACGATCAACGATACGGGCATACTGCGCGGCTACTGCATATATAACTTTCTTGCACCCGGGACCATCCGCCCACAGCAGGATGTTAACAGACGCGAGGGCGCCATCCTCAATGTGTTTTGGGAACAACGAAGTGTCGGGAGCGCTGATCAACTCCGCCTCATTTATCCCTGCATGCTTCTCATCTCCCTCACCGTGACCGCGCTTCATCATTCGAAAAAGGCACACCAATTCTTCAAAATTGGGCAGCTGCAATTAAAATTGCCAAGCTCAAACAGGTGCGACATACATACCACGTGCGCGCAGGTGCATGGCAGCGGAAAAAACGTCACTTACATTTGGAAGTAAATTGGCTGGCAGGTGGGAATAATGAGCTGTAAACTTTTCGGCGGTACGTTGTGAGGCAGCAAGCTGGGCAAGGACAATACTGAGCTCTTTGTGAAGTTCGGGAACACCAGTTTTGTCGAGTCGCTTTTTGAGTTCCCGCCGGATTTCGGGAAAGCGTTTATCCAACTCTTTGCGCTCTTCAGCGGTCTTGACAATGAATTCGCTCCATGTCATTCCATCAGGCAAAGTTTCCACTTTCAGCTCGGAATGGCTCTCAACGATATCACCATCCCTCTCCGTCACCACCTGCACGGTGTAGCTGATTTGCCCTGTTCTCTCGAGTTCGCGCCACAGATCACTATCATGCAATTCGGCAGCGGTATAGACAAGTTCTGGATTTGATTCGATCTAAAAAACAGCGATTGTCAGTAGGCGTATTCAGCAGCCCCTATTTATTTCAGCTGAAATTGACTTACTACAAAACAAGGCCAGTCAGGAAAGATAGCGTTCATATCTTTCACTGCACGGCTCAGATCTGCTCCACAGGTGGCGCGCCTGATCAGGTACCGTATGCGAGGAAATTCCCGAATCATTGGATGTCCCGTAGCATTTCGGCGGGGAGGAACCAAGATCTTCCGGCGCAGTGCCTCTACCTCAGCGGGCGATAGCGGTGAACAGTTACGGTGGGCTAAGGTAGAATCACCCATTGCTTGGACGGATGGCTCACCGCCGGTGCTCGACGACAGTACAGCAGCATCCATCCCGCACTCGTGCATGACCGGCGAACGGCTATCGCCGTCGTGAGGAGGAGGAATGGCAGAGACAGCTGCTTTCTTTGGAATCCCGACCGGTGTAGGCTTGGTCTTTTTGGCCCCGGCCGCACGCGGGTTAGTAGACGAACTTGCAGCGGTTGCGGAACGCCGCCTGGCACTAATATTTCTTTCCGCCTCGTCTAGGCACTGCAGGGCTAGGTCACGATCGACGGAATCAGCTGCTGCTGCTGGTGCTGCGGGAGAACGCGGGACCGCGGCGTCATCGTCAACGAGCTCCAGGGCTGTTTTCTTATAGTATTTCTTTATTCTCTTATCTTCTTCTTCAACGCCGGCGTTCACTCGCGTGCGTTTATGTATATATCTTCCTGCCATCTGTGAAGACATATCGGCTTCGATATAAAGTACGCAACCTAGCATTTCTGTATATGTTATACTGTACAAGAGATCTGCGCGCGCCACTCGTAACTATAGTATTCAAATCATGTTTGCAATGACGGAGTGTACGTATCTGAATTTGCTGTGTTTACTGTTGCACTGCTTGCCGTTCATTCATTTTACCAAAGCAACATCATCCGACGTCATACAAAGAGATTTCCGCTAAGCATAAAAAACAAGTTTCATCTCACTACATTCAAAAAACTATCAGAAATATTCGTTCTCCGCCGCATCTTGCATATCCGTCGCGCGACCCCGCCGCCGGCAGAGCTCCCTCTGGGTGCGCCGCTGACATGCCTCGGTCTTGACGCGTTCCCGCTCTTCGCGCTCCCGGATCTGGCGCTCCTGTCGCTGCTCCGCCGTCTCTTTTGCCCGTGCAGCTTTACGCTCCCGTTCCTTGCGGTTCTTCTTTGCCTTGTCTTCCCGCCGTCGCTGCTCCGGGCGCCTGGCCTTTTTGCGCGCCTTCTTAGCCAGCCGCACCTCCGCATCATCAGCCATCACGTCCGCCAGGATGCGATCATCCTCCTCCTGAAATTCCAGTCGCTGCGCCTCCACTGCATCTGCCCGACCATTCTCTTCCGCCACGGCATGAGCCACTTCTTCCATTTCGATATCGCGCACCACTTCTACGGAAAGAGGATTTGCCAACAGGTACTGTCGCGATGCTTCCGCCGCCTCCCGTTCCCGCTTATCAACTGCAATTAACAAAACAGTTAGACCAAGTAACATGCAGAGACTGAATCATTCATCTAAACCGCTATTAAATGTTACTTACTCTTCGCTCTCGCTTCGTGCAGAGCACGCACCACAATGCAATACATCTCCCGTCGGTAGCTTCGCGCGATATGGACTTGATCACGTTCGTGCATTTCCGCATCGTGGAGTGGCACGAAATGCCACGCGTGCCCATGCTTCTCGCAGAATCTTTCTAATGCTGTATTCAGCAACCTCACCACTCGCAGACAAGCCGCGATAGGCGGAACCGCCAGGAGAAGGATGGGGGAGAAATGATCCTCTAGCGAGATGCGAGCATCTTCTAGCTCATACACCACATGCTGGGTCTGGCCTTCCGGAGTATGGAGAGGATTGACACGACGTCCCCAGAACGACTGGAGGTCGTTCGAGCCACAGCTTAGGATGAGCGGACGCCGTGGACGGCTATGGGAGCGCGTAGGCCAGACAATTTCGTCTCCATCCAGACCATACTGGGCGTGCACCAGCTTCCTCGCTTCGTCCAGAAGTGTCACAGTATCTCCTCCGGCAATTGTCATGGCAAACAGTCTTGCGCCGTCCAGGGTCGGGAATTCCAGCCCGGGATGTGTTCCCTCGACACGGTGACCCTTACACGCCCTCTTGTTGGCGCAGTGGAAAGTGCGCCGGGTCTGTGAATCGGCAATCAAAACAGCGTCGGCTTCATTGAACTGGCCGCAGCAATCCTTCACTTTCGTGACGTCTTCATCCCGCATCAGTTCATAGCACGGACTGAACTCGGCAGGCGGAGGAGGTGGACAGTCACGATTGCAGCGGTGCCGGCGGCTGCTGGCAGGGGCGACGGAGCGCGAAGAGGAGGCAGCGCTGTTCCGGTAGGGAGCAGAAGAATGGTGTGGCTGCCATCGGCTGTTATGCTGGAGGTTGCCGTGGCGCTGTTGGTTATTGAACGGCACCATTCTGCAATGAAACTAAGCAAAAAATATAGACAAGAACAATACTTATAATAAGCATGGAAGATTACTGATACTAATAATATTAATAATAATTACAGAAGAGAGGCGCGCGCAGTTGTAATTTATTTAGAATTATTTACTCACCTCTCAGTCTCGGATGAGCGCGGAACACAGCAGGGATCGCGACTGTGGGCAACTGGGGGACAGGAGAACCTCCGAGCAGAAAGTGGCGCTGGGTAGCACCGCACACTGCTCAGGAAGTGGCTGACGACGACGAACACACCAGCGTGGTAGTGGGTACCGCCGACGCCGAATGTGAACGTTGCAGAGCTGGGCGCTGGTAAGCACCACTGCTTGCTGGATGATGACGGGGCACTTGTAAGCACCGCCGTCGGATCCCGGAAAATCCACACACACCACAGCCCGATCAGGAAGGCGAACAGGTAAGGGAATCTACAACAGACAAAATTTTATTTAAAGAAAAATACATTTTGAACAAAAACTGACAGTACCGCGCACTAACATGTGAATTCTGATGTGAATGAATGCAGGAAATATTACAACAAGAAATTAAAGAATTAAAGTTCATGTCAACTACTTTGCAGTAATTACGACACACAAAGATAGAACATGAATACGCATACGCCAATCCGAAGGTTTTTTTAAAATTAAGAAAGCAGTATATTTTCGAAAGTGCACTGTATATGCCAAAAACGTATATTTTGTTCAGTAGGGTAACTATCGAAATACAACTAAAAGCTCATAGAAAAAAGAATGGTTACTGCTTATGGCATCGGCTATCATCGCGATGAACGAGAAGAAATCAACAGCCGACGAACGACTACACCCTTGGCATTTTAGAATCTGATCACATCTGCCTACATAGCACAACCTACAATCAGCTAAAACGCCAGTGCATAAACACCGTGCAATCAAGGCATTCTCAAAATGGTTTGTAAGGCAGTCGAACATTTCCTGCTGGACCAGAGTTTTCTCCAAATGCAAAAAACCACCGATTTGTATCACCAAATATCGTAGAAAATTTAAGCAATAACGTTACAGCAAGCTGTAAACCCTACACTTGTGACTCGTCCTCGCTGCAAGCTATTACTGTAATTAATATCAAGTTCTGGGACAGTCGATTACTTATTTCGCACTGACATCTTCAGTTAATTTTTCTTGTACGGATATGAGTTGATCATGAATTACAGCGGATATACCAGAAGCCCAAACTTCCTGAATCAGCGAGAAATAACTGAAAAAAGTTACAAAGGGAGGACAAATAATATGAAAAATTAAAACTGTTGACAGTTTATGATATAAGCGCGCGAAATCTCCAAATAAAAGAACATATCCTATTAATGTACGCAGTCACAAGTTCAGCATGTTTAATTAAAGACAGTATAATCATCAAAATATCTTCCGACTTCTGAGGTTTGCCAAACTGCGACAGTACTGTGGTAGAATGCAGACATGCTCCTACGATTGTTACAGAACATATCACTATAACTCTATAAGCAATTTACAGACCTGTAAATCTTGGCTTAGCTCATAAACAGCACTTCGATATTCTCGGGAATAACGCGTCTGATAACACCAGCAGCAGTAGGGTGGTTATCGTTCCGATTAACTCCGATCGAAAAATTGAAAACGGGATGCACTGAGTACTGATCCAAGACAGCGAATTTGGGACGGACTGGGGCAGCAGTGCCTGATGACGACGCATGAAAACCCCGTTCTTATTAAAAATCCAAAGTCAGTTCACTATAGTTCGTCAACGAGATATTCCTTCGGCACTAAGACACAAGGGCAATTTAAAACAAGATGGAATCCAAATGTCGATTTCATAATTCTCAACAAATCAATCCAAAATTCCAAACACACATCAGTATACGATCATATGACCACGCAACAATTCTACTGTTTCGATTGGCACGAAACAAAACTCACCAATTTTCCACCGAAACTCCTTATCAATTCAGTATTAACAGTCAAAGAAGTTGGTTCATGTAAACTAGTTCTGCTGCAAAAGCACGACTCTCAAAAGACCACAACAAACGATCGAAAGAACTAGAAGTTCTCTTCGCAGCAGAGTACCTCCCAACAAAAATTTAAATGCGGTGCGTGGGCCCGCGTGTTAGCAGGAGTATAGCAGCGTTGATGCACGACTGTTATGCACCTGACTCTACTGAACGGTGTAACGTCTTTCAGTAGAGTCAGGTGTACGACTGTTATGCATCAACGCTGCTGCTGTGCATACCGCGCCGCGCAGTAGTCACTGCTGCGCGGTGTGACTACTGCGCAGTGTGCACATGAGTGGGCACTGGCTATTTGCCGCCCCAAATACGTGTATAGAGCAGGCCCTGACCCTACGGTTCGCCCCTGTGTTGGCATATACGCGGGTGGGGGTAGGGGTGTTTGCCAGCACAGCAGGTGGGACCTATATCATCATCCGTAATATGGGAATATGTCGGATAAAATCGTCAAATAACTTTGGTGGAAGAAATGAATTACGGCTGTACTCGTCTATGAGTGATTCCAAAACCATCGACTGCGCCTTCCCGCTGATGGTTACACTAAATATTATCCCGGATCTGCAGAGTAGCAAAAGCCGAAAAGAAGTTAATCGTATTAGGCAAATTATAGTGACTTGTCTGCTATAAATGTCGGCAACGCTTCAGAATAATTACCTTCGCCTTGAGTTAATTTCTGCACCGGCAATTGCTTGGCGCTGCAAAAGGTCACCAGGAGGAACAGAAGTTTAGACGATCGTAAAACTTATCATATGATAACTGATAACCAAACTTATTCCTAATCAAAAGCAACTTATTTGAATAAATATACGGTGAGCCATACAGTCAGATTTTCCGAAGACATGGAGAATAAACGGGGTGCTTGGGAAAGGCTGGCTGGGCGTTGTCCATGGGATTTTTCGCTCCCCAGAGTGAATTTTTGTGCCACATTTGGAGCCGAAGTGGTACGCACCAAGGTTCCAATTACCATTTTATCTGAAACGAAACACAACAACAATTTATCTGAAACAAAATATCAGTTTTAATAACAAAAGGAAAAATGCAATAATAAGCTATGCAATTACCCTAATCAAAACTGGAGCGATTTGAATGCTGCGCGAACTGACCAAAGGAACTGTAGACATAACCAAAATAAAAAGAAAGACAAGTAATAGTAGGACAACTTACTTTCAAGCAGTCTTCATATCAATTACTGTATATAAATACTTATTCGCCACTTCCGCTGCTCTTTGGCGCACATCTGGCTTTCTGATCAGCGTACGCATCGAGGATAAAATAGTTCCAAAAAGCATCACGTCAGCGCTTTCTCTGCAATAACAGATATATAATACTCGTGAATCCCAACAAAATGGACAATCGTAGATAATGCTAAACAGATCGGTCGAAGCACAAGAAATTAAGCTAATTTGGCCACGTTAGGTATCTCTTGACCAGAACACACAGAAATCCATCATACTATTAATCTAAGAAAGTAAACTATAAAGTGGATTAGAAATGATTCAACTTCGTTTTACAGTAGTACCCTGTTCCGTACGTTTCCAAGAGGCAGCACAGCAGGAGATTCTCCTGGAATCCATAATAATATCGGCATAATAATTATATAACAATAAGAAAACAAGATTTAAGCTGTGGTGTTGTATTTATTATTCGTAACTTATTAATCGCAAATACTTCTACCTATAAAATGTCATAAGTAAATACTACCACGCATTTCCAACACATACCGAACACAAAGTACCACACTTGTCCACAAAAGGTAGAAAGATGCGCCGTCATTTGCCGTTATCCCTACGTTTTTTGGGTAACACTTTATCACATGTTGTTCTATTTATTATAAAGTTTAATACGACACAATGTCCTCATTTATACTAATGAGCCATACCAAGCTAATAATTCCAAATTTCAACTCATTGTCAAGTAAGTAGTATGTACATGGACAGCCAAGACAGCTGTTTTTAAATTTTTATTCTCACTGTCGAGATCCTTTTCGCTGCGAAAGCCATTCTTATGAAGAAGTAGATATTTGTACACCGGACCATGAAGGGGAGCAGAAAGATGGTTAATCATCAGCATTTGCTAAAAATGTCTCAACATTCGAACATTCCATTGAATATCAGAATATATAATAAGAATATTATGTCGAACATCAAATGCTATCAATTCAAAATGAAATACAGACAGACCAATCTTTTCGCATTGTTTTGTTAACGGCAATGTTTAGGGCTTTACATAAAGATCTCCGTGCTACTAGGTATGCATTCCCATGCAAACCAAACAACTCATTATTTACAGTGTCTAGGTTTTTTTTATGGGATACTGTTGTAACCAAAATGTAACCAGCCATACTCTAATATCCCTGGGGCCTGCTGTATAAACTTCTCAGCTAGTGCTGGTATAAGGCGGCATCCATAAATTACGTCACGCAAGTTGGGGGAGGGGGGAGGTCCTGAAAGCGTTACTGTTGTTACAAAGGGGGAGGGGGGTATTAAAAACTTTGTTATGATTCTGACGTCACCATGCTATATCTATGGAGGGGTTCTAAATTTGTTACGTAGCGCTCAGGGGAGGGGATCTGAGTTTGTTAGCACTGGTGACATAGGGGGAGGGGGGTATCAAAATGTCGAATTTTTGCGTTACGTAATTTATGGATGCCGCCTTTAAAGCTGTACGAGTACTAGTACGGAAGTCTGTAATTACAGACTACGGAAGTCTGTAATTACAAGGTTATAACCTTGTGTTCGTTAAAAGTTCGTTAATTGTGACGAGAATAAAAACCGTCGTTAAATCAGAGTACGAGTACATTTTTGAAGTTTCTCAGAGATAATTAATAATCGTTCTCGCAGGGTATCAGATCTGATACCCTGCGAGTACGATTATTAATTATCTGCAAAAAATTGGTCAAATATTTGTTTATTGTAAATCTAGATTTACAATAAACAAATATTTGACCAATTTTTTGCACTAGGGGGGATCCATAAATTACGTACGCAGCGAACCAGGGAGGGACGGGTCCAAAAAATGTGACAAGCTGTGACGGCCCCGACGAACCCAGGGGGGAGGGGGTGGTCAACTCCATGTATTACGACTGAGCGAACCAGGGGGAGGGGTCAAGCAAACGTGACGGACCGCTACGAAGGGGGAGGGAGGGGTGAAAAAATCGTAGTTTTCTGCGTACGTAATTTATGGATGCTCCCCTACTGTATTCGTGTTTTTTGCATTCAAGTTTAGGCTACACCAAACGTACAATACGTATACTTCAGCTATTTTTATTGGTCGAGATTAAAATCTTTGTACGAGGGTCAAGATTCGAGAGCTTTCTTGCATCGCTCACATCCGCTTTTCCCTCATATGCGATTTTTTAACCGTCAGACTCGTCACGCGCACGTCCAGTCTGTTTCTGATCCTGTTTTTGAGTGTAAATACAGGTTCTGCAGCTGTCGAAAAATTTTTCCGGCCACGTCTTCGGTGCATTATTTAGTTCTATAATTTTACATATTGGTAACTACCACGGATTATGGCTTTCGAATTCAACAACAACGCACACGATGATCACGAGCTGAATGCAGATGGAGATGACGCAAGCGGTATGTTGGTAACCGTAAGGTCAATGATTCCGATCTGATTCATTCCATCGCTTAAGAACGAAAAATTTTCAAACAAAATATAAAGAAATAAATTATTTGTTAAGTTTCAAATTTTATTTCAAATCAGTTC